GGGACTAGCCCCCGCCCCGACCTGCAGGCAGAGCTCCCAGGTGCTGGCTGAGGGGAGGAGAAATACTGGGGTGCTGGCAAGTGGGGACCTGTGAGCCCCTGTGAGCTTCCAGGGCCTATCAGGTGGATACAAAGACCTACTGCTGTAGGTCCTGTGCTGGGGAAGCAAGGGGACCCAGGGGGCAGGGGGCAGGGCTGTGGGTTTCCTGTCTTCCAGAGCCTTCCAGAGTCTGCTCCTCGGAAGCCGGCTCCCAGCAGGGAAGTGAGGCCAGCAGCGGGCAGGGCAAACCTCTCAGAGGGGCACTGAGAGGGAATCCCAGGGCCGAGGAGAGCCTTGGTTCACCCTAACACCACATGGTCCCTGTGGGCACTACCGGGGGCAGACCCAGACCCCAAACAAAATTAAAACCCCAAAGAGAGGAAACTCCCCCAGGCAACAGGGAAGCAAAGGGCAGTGCCTTTTCCTGCCTCCTGGTCCCCCAGTTCTCCTGGAAGATGATGCCCCAGGAAAATGTCCACACAGGAAGCAGGGCACCACAGGCCCAGAGTGTCAGGCGTCTGGGAAAAGGAAGGGCTGTCGAGGGCCACGGGGGGGGGGGGGGGGGGGGGGGGGGCACTGACCATAAGCACAAGGCTGATGAGGATGCCTGTGCATGGGGACGCAGGGGGCAGCTGGAGGTAGCCCTGGCAGGAGAGATGGACGGCGGTCTGCAGCAGATGCACATGGGGTCCCTTTCCTTTCCTTCTCACCCACGGGAAGCGCGTCTGTGCTGGGGGCAAGGCTGTTTCCTACAGACCTTTGCAATCAGGACAGAGCACGCAGCCGTGCTCCTGCTGGGCCCCCTTCCAAGAACCCAGCACTAAGGTGCGCAGCGAGGTGGGGCTGACACACTGGAGTGCCCCTGCCCAGGGCTGACCTCCAGGATTCGAGCACCCAACAAGGATCCCACCAGGCAGGAGCAAACAGGGGAGCCAGGACAGCAAAAGAGATGGGGCTGTACCCCCACACACACCACGAGAAGGGAACCCCCGCCTGGCCCCGCAACGCTGCCCAATGCAAGGAGGGTCTCCCCTGGGCTCAGGGAAGGGCACAGGGACAAGCTGGTGAGGACGGGAGAGAAGCTGGCGGCTCGGGTAGTCACTTCTGCTGCTGGGCGTCTGGCGGGCACTGATGCCTGTGGGGACACCGAGCTGCTATTAAGTGGCAGGTGAGGGGGCTGCCCAGGCACGCAGGCTGTGGCCAGAGGGCTGAACTAGGCATCAAGAGCAAGGGGAGGGGACCGGAGCAACAGTACAGCCGAGAAGGCACTTGCCTTGCATTCGGCTGACCTGGGTTTGGTTCCGAGCATTCATTCCTTATGGACCCCCGTGCACCACCAGGAGTGATTCCTGAGTGCAGAGCCAGGAGTACCCCCTGAGCACCGCTGGGTGTGGCCCAAAAACCAACCCCCCCCCAAAGAAAAGCAAGGAGAAGCCCCAAGAGGGCTAAAGCAGGAGAGACATGATCCAATGGCTGTTTCAGAGACCCCACAGGTCGCCATGGGGCTGGGAGATGGTGGTGGGTGGTGGGTGAGGTAACCCGGGGTGTCTGGAGGGCAGCTGCCAGTCCACCCTCGCCCTCCCCATCTTCCAGGCCCCTGCACTTGCCAGGTACTCCCTGCACGGAGGCGCCTCTGGGCTGCCTGTGCCAGGTGCTTCCCCACCCTCCCAGGGCTACTGCCACAGGCTCGCCAGGTGACCGTCTCTACAGAGCTGCCCGGTCAGCAGCACTTCCTCCCTCTGCTAGAGGCTTGCGTGTCACCTCACCACCCTCCCGCCCCCAGGTTCCTCACCAGACCCTCTAAACCCGGAGTCAGGCACAAGCACCTAGGCCGCGGAGGCCTCACCCTGTTGCCTGGTGTGGGCCCTGCCTGCACACCCCGGGGTGCTGGGCGCAGGCAGGGGGCAGCGGGTAACGGCTCTGCTCTTCACGGACACTGAGAAGGGTCACAAGCCAGGAAATCCACCATCTTAAAACATACAAGCCATGGCGAGGACAGACCCAGCTCCTGCTCCCGTGGCTGCCTCCAGGGGGTTGCCTTCTCAGGAAGATCCATCTAGCAGCTGAGAGGCTCAGGATGAGCCTTCTGGGCCGCAGGCGCCAAGTGGAGGCCACAGGATGTTTGCATGGACAGTGGGGTCCATGCAACACGGGCCTGTGTTGCCTCAGAAAGGATCCCCTGCCACTGGCCTGGAGCACCTCCCTGTCGCTGCCACCGCCCTTCCCCAAAACCTCAGCGCAGAGAAGACGAACAGAACAAAACCAGCAGTGGCCGGAACTCTAGGCCTGGAGCCACTCCTGAACCCACAGCATGGTCCGACAGACGCCGGGCATGCCAGAGCTCGGCTGAGGAACCCCCTTCACACAATGGCTCAACGTGCAAAGCAGAAGTCTTCTGGGAACAGAGTCTCCCCCCAGCCTCAAGACATCCAGCTGGGAGGTGTCCCCTCGGCCACTGCTCCTGGTAAGGGTCAAGTGTGCAGTTCTGAGGTCCCCAACATGGTGGCCACATGGGCATCCCATCCCCACCTGGGTACAAGTCTCTGGCAGGGCTGCTCCCGGCCAAGGGCAAGAGGCCCTGGGCTCAAGCCCGTGGGCAGCCTGGGGGGCCTACAGGAGGACCCAGAAAGAGGAGCTTTGGAGAAGGCGCCACATGCCACCTTCCCTGCAAAGCAGGGTCAGCCATTCTGGGCCCGCAGAGACAGAACAGCGAGTTGGGCACTCGCCTTGCATGCACCAACACTGGCTCAGCCCCTAGCACCCTGTGTGGTGCCCTGCACCTCATCAGAAGTGAGACCTGAGCACCACCACGTATGGCCTCCCAGAACTCCTCTGCCCCAGAGAACCTCAACCCCAGTTGATGTGTCCACACAAGGCTTCCAGTCATAAGCTACTACTCTCACAGCTGGAACATTCTCCCCCAGGCCCGGGGGTCAGCTCCACCGGCTGAGCACGTCTCTGCATGCAGGAGGCCTGTGTCGCCCTGAGCACAGAGTAGCAGTCCCGAACAAACAAACAAAATAGGTTTCCCCATGTTCACATAACCCTTCCAGACCCACTGTCACCCCAGCCGAGGCCTATGTCTGTCCGTGTCTCCAGTCTCAGGGAACAGCGGTCACTAGGGCACAGAGGGCCAGAAGCAGCCTGTACTTATTCTGCGTTTCTAGAATCAAACACTGGGAGGTTAGGGTGCCCAGGACGGGGGTGCGATAGGACGTGACCCCACAGGAGTGGGTGTGACCACAGCGGCACATCCACAGAAGCTTAAAATCCCAGAGTGGGAGAAACATGGGCCTTCAGGGCCACCATCAGGAGAGACTCGGCCACTCCTCACTCCCGGCTGGGGGAGGTGGCCAGCTGCCTCACCAGAGAACTGGGAGCAAAAGGGCACCAAATGGTCCCTCGTCACACCCTTCAGGAGTGCGGGCCTCCCACCCCGGCACTCTCCCGCCTGTCCCAGCTGGGTGAGGGGCTCAGACACGGCCTTTCCCATGTATCTCTGAGGCCTCGAGAGGCGGGAGGGGTCCTGCCCTGCTGGGACCACCTGAATCTGGGCAGGGTTAGCAGCCCCAGCCCCTCACCAGCTAACGGCCTGGCAGTCAGGTCCGGCCAACATGACCCCAAGTCTAGGGGTACATACCCTTGCAGGAGCGCCCAGAGCACCTTCACTAACGCGGGGTGAAGATCTCAGGAGGGAGAGTGGCTTCATGGGGTGTAGGGGGACAAAAAAGCAAAGAACAAGTCCCCTCACCCACAGACGTGGGAGGACGCAAACACCTCATAGATGGGGCACCCTGGCAGCAAGTCAGACACACAGACCACTCAGTGCAAAGCGCATTTTACCCTGAAGGAAATGGGGGTCCAAACGGTAAGGCATTCTCTGCAGCCAGCCAGCTACCAGGTATTCTGTCCTGGGGTTCCACACGGAAGCCTCATTCTGTCTTCTTCACTCCCATCCGCTTTTGCCATGAAACGACTCTCAAAAGTCACCTTCCCCGCTCCTGACCCGAGAGAGTCGCCTGCCTCCATGGTGGCCTCCCACCCGCTGCCCCACCTGCAGCGGCCTCTGTTTGCACCCGGCACCCACCCACCAGAGCCCCCCCACCCACAATGCACTCAGCAGCGCTCTCACCTCGCCTCACCCTAACCTCAGATGACGGGGACGGTTGGAAGCCCTCATCTGCATTTTTTCAGCACTGCTTCCTCGCATCAGGGCCCTCAGACAAGCTCTCCTCCTACCTGAGGCCTGCCGCAGCGGGGAGAGCAGGCGGAGAAGAAGGAGCAAACTCTTCAGACCCAGCACACAGGCACTGAATCTGCCAATTCCTTAAATATGCCTCTTGGGCTCGCGGCTACTTTGAGAGTCCTCTACAAATCCTTCCAGAGGCTGGAGACCCACCCAGGACTTTAGAAGCCCCCTTTCCCACACGTGGTAGTTAGGGTCTTTCTGGCACGGGAACGCTCGGACCAACTCACGCACGGAAAGTGGAGCTTATTTCTCCAGCAAAATCAGATGGGAAGCACACACCAGCTTTCCCACCCTGTCCTAGCACAAGGCTCTGGGCTCAGTGGGAGATGCCGAAGGGCAAAATTCACAATGAGGGCCACTGTGCCCCCCCCACCCCGCTCTCACTCACACAGTCCCCAAACCCCGGCAGGCTGTGACACCAGGTCGGCTTGGCACCTGCTTGAGAACTAGCAGAGACAACGGCCAACGGCTTGTGGGAAAGGTGGTGCCCAGGGGTCCCCCCTTTCAGCAAAGTTCTCCTTGGGGTTGGGAATCACAACACACACACACACACACACACACACACACACACACACACACACTTCCCCAAGGAAAACAGAACCCAGTTCTCGTGTCATCTATTTAGTTCTGGCAAAAGCTCGGTTCCTGTCATGGCCTCACATACCTGGTCTAGAAGGTGGGCACAGGTGGGCTGGGGTGGGGGGCCACTTACCAGCGGGGGCTGCGGCTGGGGGTGCTGCCCGGCTCCTGAGGCGGGTGGGTAGTGCATGAGTAGGTTAAAGGCGGAGTAGACGGTGTCTTTGTACATGCCGCTGGCACACTCTGGGGCCTTCAGGCCTGGAAAAACCACAGCTGGGTCAGCCTTGCCAGCCCGGGCAGCTCGGCCGAGGCTGTCTGCTCTCTCTCTCTCTCTCTCTCTAAAAAGAGAGAGAGGGAGGAAAAGGAGGCGTTTGCCAAGAGGTGCCCTTCGAGTTGGTGACTTGAAGAAGCAGCGGGCTGCGGGGATGGGAGGGGGTGCCTGCAGCGCCAAGTCTGTACGCAGGACCCCCCCAGTCCAGACCTCGCCTTCAGGATGCTCCTGCTTGAACCTCGCACCCCTCTGCAGCCCCGCGAGCCTGGGGCGCTCTGGCTCCCCCAAACCCCGGGCTGGGTGGGAGGGTGGGATTCGTCAATCACCTGGGCAGGAGGGAGGCGGTCGCGGCGGGGGTCTGTTTACTCCTATAAAGGTCAGGGCACCGGAAGTGACTCGAGCCCGGGAAACCCGCCCCCCACTCTCCCCCACCCCCAGGGTTTTACCGCCTCCACGCGCTGCAGTGGAGAGGGGGGGCGGCACCCCGTCGGCGCCCTCGCTTCCCGAGCGGCCACCCCCACCCCACCCCCCACCCCGCTTCTCCCGGGGAGCCTGAGCTGGAGGAGCAGGGACCCGGGTCGTGCACGAACTCACCATCCTCCAGAGACTCTGGAAGTTTGTCCGGGAAAAGTCGCTGCGAAGCGTGTTCCCGCCCGAGAGCCTGCGGACCGAGGCAGAGAGAGGGCCGGTGAGGGGCGCTCGGGGAGCGGCCGGGCGGGGGGCTCCCGGGAGGGGGGAGGGAGCGAGGGAGAGAGGGAGGGGGCGCGGGGCTCACCTCGGCCGCCACCTCGGCCTCGCCGCGCCCGCCGGCCCCGGGGACCCCCGCGCCGCCGGCCGCGCCCTCGGACTCATTGACCAGCGACGACTTGAGCTCGGCCAGGTCACGCTCGGGGCCCGCAGCGCTGTCGCGGCTCTTGTCGTCCTGCTCCTCGCCCTCGTCCTGGAAGGCCAGCAGCTCGTCGGGCGCCCCGAGATCGTCGCCGCCGCCCGCGCCGCCCCCGCCTGAGTCCAGCTGCGGCATGGTGCGCGCCGGGCGCCGGGGTGCGGGGCGCCGAGCCGGCCCGGCAGGCGGCGAGCCCGGAGTCGGGACCTCCGAGCCCGGAGCGCGGCGGGCGGAGCGCGGGCGGACTCCGCCTGGGCGGGCTGCGGCGCGGGGCGCGGGCGCCGGGCTCAGCGGCTCCGGGAGCTGGCGGCTCCGAACATCAAAGGCGCCGCCGGCCGCTGGCCGGGGGCGGGGCGGGCGCCGGGGCGGGGCCTGGCGGGGGCGGGGCCTGGCGGGGCGGGGCCTCGGCGCCCCGCCCCGCCCGGGGAAGCCGCGACGCGCCCCAGGGACAAAGTCTTAAAGGGCTCGCGCAGCCTGTGCGAGGCTCCCACGAGTTTGAAAGTATCAATCAGGTCTCTAAAATGAGGCTACTCCCAAGGAGAAAACTGACCCCGCGCTGGGGCCAAGGTTAGGTATCTGTGTGTGTGTGTGTGTGTGTGTGTGTGTGTATGTGTGTGTGTGTGGATGTGTCTTGAAGGGGGACGGTCCTCCCCGGCTTTTGGTGTTTGAAGTTGAATTGGAACCTGAGTCAAGGTGTGAATTGAACATGGGCTGAGCCTCCCAGTGTCCTGTGCTTGAACCTGGTGGTGGGCGTGGGAGGGGGTCCTTCCTAGAGCTCAGGCAAGGCTGCTCGAGGCCGTGCTCTCACTGGTGGTTCGGTAGGATGTAGACTCTTCAGTGCCCCGTTCCCCTCGTCCCAGCCCGATGCCAGCCCTTCGAAGGGACGTCCTTCGAAGCGGCCTGCACTCAAGCGTATTGCACATTTTTGGAGTGTCTGATAACATGTGGGCCATGTACAACATACATCTGTCGAGGCTGCTGACCTGCCCTCTCGGCCTTGTGGAAACTCGGAGGCACAGAGGAAAACAGCAGTGAGATAAGGAGGAAGGACCCTCGCTCCCACGTGCATCTTCCACCTGCACCCCAGAGCCCCCTCCAGGACTCTCCCAGCGCAGTTCCGTTCCTAGAGCCAATGGCCTGGCGTTGGAGAGTCTGTAGGAGGGAGATTCCGAAGGGCGGGGTTGGGGTGGGGTTTGCTCGTCCCCGGCAACTCAACCCTGTCCGCGTGCATTGGCTCCCGAGCTTGGTGCCCTGTTGCCATGAAGGGTCCGGGTTGCAGGGACCAACGGCGGCAGAGGAGAAGAGGACCGAGGCGCGCATCTTGTAAAGCATCTCAGGGTCCCCGCACTGCGTCCACGTGTTGATGGGCCATACACGTGGACTAGGCTCAGCCCCCGCCTCCCCCACTTCCTCACCCCCCTCCCCCGCCTTAGGAAAAGACTCGGGGTCCCGGGACAGCCGACCGCAGCCGGGGGCAAATCTCTGGGTTGAATTGTGTAGACCTCTCCCGAGAACCACTGGGGCTGAGGGTGGTGCCTTGGACGCCTCTCCGGCGCGGAGCCCCCGCAGGACCCCTGGCAGCCGCACCAAAGCCCGGCCGGAAGAGGGCCGCGCCGCCCCTCCGCGTCCAGGCTGGGCCTGGCTGGCTGCGGATCAAAGAGTCGGGGCGGTCCTTCTCGGCATTCAGATCCTATCTGCTCCCGGGCCAGCGGGGCGCCGCGGCCCCCCACCTCAGCGCCGCCGGAGCGCTCGCCTTCGCCCCTTTGGGGAGCTGGAGGAGGCTGGGCACAAGGGCTGAGTTAGGCCCATTGAAGTGTGTGGAGGGCATTGCCTGTTGGGGGTTCCTTGTCCTCTTTCCTAAGTGTGAACTTGTGCCCTCTCTCGCCTCATCCCGTCCGGGCTGGGGGTGGGGTGGGGGGAGGGGCTCCAACCAGCCACTGCCCCGCCTGGAGGGGAGAGGAAGAGGGAGCCACTGGCCTCCCCCCATCGCAGCCTGTGAGCTTGTGGGAACCAGTTTGGGGATGAGGCTCCCTTGGGAAAGCGAGACAGAAATACTGGGATGTGCGTAACCCAAAGGTTTGGGGTGCGGAGGGGTCCTCCTGCGTTTGAAGATGATAACCGGCTAATCCCAACCTCCTCCAAGACTGCCCCCAAGATCCACGAGGTCCAGGTGGGGGTGGAAGTTTCCTGCAGTTCCTGTGATTGCACTGGTGTGAGGATCCCAGCGATTTCCCTGGAGAAGGCAGGGAAAGCTGGGTAGCTCTCAAGTGGTGGATTTGTTTCATTAAAGCTACACTTTTTTTTTTCTCTTTTTGCTTTTTGCTTTGGTTTTCTGATTTGGGGACGCACCCCAGCTGTGTTAGGGTTTACTCCTGACTCTGTATTTAGGGATCACTCCTGACAAGGCTTTGGGGACTGTATGGGGTGCCAGGGATTGCACCCAGGCCAGCCATGGGCAAGGCAAGCGCCCTCCCCACCGCTGTACCATCTTCAACGCAGCACTACATTTTTTCAGCTTAAAAAGATAATCTTTAATCAGACATTAGGAGCTTCTGCTTTATTGCTGTGGAAACAGCCTTTCTCAACTAAAATGAGGGTGAGAAGAGATTCTTTCCTCTTCCTCTCCCTTTGTTCTTGTTGCTGGGGACACAGGTCACACACTATTGTCGTGTGAGGGATCACCCAGGGCAGTGGCCGTGTGATTGTGTTGAGTGTGAGGGTCCCTCTGATTGTACCGGGTGTGTGAGACCCTGAGATTGTACTGGGTGAGTTTTCTGTGATTCTACTGCATGTGGAGTTCCTGTGATTGTACTGGGTGTATAGGACCCCTGTGACTCGGTCTGAGTGGCAGTGCTAGGGGTCACGCTTTCAAGTCAGGCCCTTTACAACTGAGTCACTCTTGGATGTAAAATAGATTTTCGTGTGTGTGGATTTGGGGACATATCAGGAAGCACTCCGGGGCTACTCCAGGCTCATTGCTCAGGGTCTCTCCCAGCTCAGGAGACCCTGTCGTGTCAGAGACGAGCCCCACGCTCCAGTATACGTAGCCGTCATTTCAGTCTTTTAAGCCATTTGTCAAGCCCTAGAATTTGCCAGGACCTACAATATTTTAAAAATTAGGATCATGAGTGGGAGAACTTTTAAAACTAATTTTAAACTAGTTTAAAGATTAGTTTTTATTTAGCAAAAGAAAAAGTTGGCTCCTCCAATCTGCCATCCCCATATTCCTTTACACACTTTATAGGGCTCTAAAATTCTAAAATCTAGAACCACTGATGACTCTGGAGCTCTTGCCCTGTTTGATGACAGCAAGGAGGGGTGAGAAATAGGGAAAGAGGGATGTGGGGAGGGATAAATAAATGGCACAGAGAAGGTCGGAGCCCCCTGAAACCTGCTCCAGGGGGACCACCTAGCATGGATTTTGCTGTGGGCCTGACTTTGAGGATGGAGGCCAAGGAGCGGGCCAGCCTCGGGAGGACTAGCTGCTTGATGCGAGAAATCATTCAGGTGGCATTTGCTGTTGGTTTGGTCTCTGCAGACCATGGGCTCAAGATGAGATACAGTGCAAGGAATGTGTCCAGTGATCAGGTAGGTTCCTGGATGGGGAAATTTCTCCTGGCCCTGGAAGATTCTCTGTAAGGCTTGAAGAGCCAGAGGAGAAGGAGCTTGTTTTTCTGAGAAGCTGCTACAGCTCTGTGGAAGCACCTTTCCTGGTCATCATCATCATCATCATCATCATCATCTTCATCCTCACAATGACTCCGTCTTATTCACTCGATGCTATGGGCCAGACATCATGTCCGAGTTTCCCATTCATGATCCTATTTCATCTTTATTATGCCAATCTTATGACATTGGGTCCTGCCCCCTGTTTGTGAATGAAGAAACGAAAGCGCAGAGAAATTGAGTAAGTTCCCCATTATCAGGACGCGGGATCAATCCACACCCTGGCTACTGTGTTCTGTTCTGACCCCTGACAGTCCGGAGAGGGACCCCTATCTGCCATGTGCTCATTAATCGATTCCTGACCTTCAGGACGGCTGGTGGTGAGTGAGGGGACCCCTCCAGCCGTTTGCTAAGGGTGCAGGACATCCTCCTAGAGTTACAGAGACCTCAGTCTGTCTTGCCTCTCCCCTGGGACACTGTAGACTGCCTGTTTCTGGGCACTTACTCAGACCCTCACCTGGACAAGAGGCCCTGGGGTTCTTCTGCGAATGTGTGTTGTGGAGAGGGGGGATAGGACTGAAATGGGCTATGCCGCTTCCCACCTCCAAGGAGTAAAGTGGAAAAAGTTGGGCCAAGTGACCAGCTGCAGAGTGACCCAGTTGGAGATTTAATAAGAAACTTCATCTTCATGCAAATTAGTCAGATGCAGTGTGTGTGTGTGTGTGTGTGTGTGTGTGGTGGGGGCGGGGGGTGTTCAGGGAAATAGTTCAGAGGCAGAGCTGAGCACATGCTTTACATGCTGGAACCCTGAGTTCTATCCCCTGCACCTCACGGTTCCCCTAAGACTGAGCTGGGAATGGCCCCCAAGAGCACCACTTGATGTACCCCCTCCCTTTAGAAAAATAAGCCAGATGAAACGGTCACATCCTCAGAGGCTGGAGGGCGGCAAAATAAGAGCTTTCTGGGGGTGACGGCGAGAGCAAGCGTGTTCCTGCTGAGTTTCCATCCCCGCCTCCCCTGGCCTTTTGCAGCCAGAGGCCCCCAGACCAATCACTGACCCTATCTGAGCCTCAGCGTCCTCAGAGGTGAAATGGGTATTGTGCCCCAGCCTGTGGGTCGAGGCTGAGATGAATCACGGGTCCCAGAGCTCAGCACGCCGCCTGGCACATTCCAAGCGCCCTAATAAATGGGTGCTCTTGAGCTAAATATTTTTCGGAAGTTGTTAGGCTAATTGGCTCTTCATGTAACGTCATGTAAATCATCTAAATGTTCTCATGGCCTGAGCCCACTTAATCACGGCTAAGGCCGAAAATATACATTTCCTTTCCTTTTCTTTCAAGTTCCTTTAACATGAAAGGCCTGTGTGAACTCTCTGACCTTTTCTAACAGGGAGACCCTTGAAATGTGGCATTTCCAGCAAACGGCTCAAAGGAGCCCCTGATGGATTTAGTAAATTACAACGGGAGAGGTTTGGTGCGGCGTCTCTTCCTGCCTGCCCGCCGGCCGCCTGGCATCCTGTCCGGGC